ACTTTACAACTGGGCGAGGCCCCGTGGTTTTTTCCCTCTTTTGGGTTTTCCACGTAAGAACTCTGGTGTTCACTTTCTCTTTTCTGTTTGTGTGCGAAATACTCGTGCAACGCTAGGACGCGAATTTACAAACTCTACCGCCGCATATATTCTCGCACGCAACAAATATATTATTCATAAATTAATTTCAAAATAATATAATTATCTACATATTGTTCTTATAAATTTTATGAAATATATATAAATTGTAAATTTTTTTTTAACTCTTAAATACGAGATGTCTTTTGACGTAATTGTTGGAATTCCATTAAGAAATTCTGAAGTTAAACATGTTTATCCCGGAGAAATCTTGTTAGATGACCTTCTGGGAAGTTACCCCAATAAAATAAAATCGTGAGGCCCTTATACAAAACAAAAAATATATCGATAGTTAATAATTTGGATTATTACAAATATGTTTCGTCTTGAAATTCATGGTGGTAACGAGATAAATAGCTTAACATCTTAGCGAATGAAGATTCAACACGCATAAATAATGAAACAGGGGTGTGAGAGTCATAAGAGACATCATACTTTTACGTGAAAAACGCTAAGAATGAAGAAAAACTACGGGGTATGACCTAGTGAAATGAATTCACTATTTGTTGTAGATTGATGCCCTTCCTCTAGGGAAAAAATTAGCTTAATATAGAAAATATATTTGGATTGAAAGGATCGAATGATATGAGAGCTATTCTCTTGAAAATGTTGATCTGTTTATTTGGTTGGTAGGACTATAACTGATAGGCAACGGTGGTCGAAAGGATCATAGTCGATGGGCGACGGTGTAGAGAGTGAGCACTGTTTGGTGGGCATCGTAGTTAGAGGGACCATAGTAGGCACACGAAAGTAGTCAAAGAGATTGTTTGTCGATGGGCAATAGTTCTAAGAGGGACTGTAGTTGGCTGGGGACAATGATTAGAGGGACCGTAGTCAACGAGCGACAGTGGTCGAAAAGATCATAGTCGACGGGCAAAGGCGATCATAGGGGCCGTAAAAGACGGGCAACGGTGATCAGAGGGACCATAATCACCATGCGATGAAGGAGGTTTGGAGGACCGTAGCCCGGTAAACCGTAGTCGACAGGCGACCTGTTGGAGGGACCATAGTTTGGTTGCAATATGGTCGTAAGAGGCCCGACGGATGGTATTGTGGAGGAAATCTAACAACGATGTCTGGCATATGCCAGATGGAGTAGAGCGCTCCGAGATGTTTCAAGCATAAAAGCACTCTTAAGTCGTATAGCTTGATTTTTTTTTTTTTGTAAATAGTATTTGAACTTTTTTAAACTTTTTTTAATAATGATAATATAAAAAAATTATAAAGATTATCAAAATTTTAAATTTAATTATTTGTTTTTTTCTTTTAAAATTTTTAATAAATACATTTATAATGATAAATTTTCTTTTTTTTTTCGTTATTTTTATATATGATACTGTAAAAAATGAATTTTTTTGCATTAATATATATAAAAGTTGTATAAATTTTGCACTATCTAATTTATTATTTTACTAAAATATAATATACTAATTTAATAGATTAATCTAATTTAAATTTTACTAAAAATAATTTACTAATTTAATTTATTTTCTTTTTTTAACGGGGGTAGTGGTTTGGAAACGACTTGCGCCAGCCATATTAGAGAAGAAATGACTTCTCCTCTTCCTGCCGATCAAACCTTGCGTCCAACTAAATTATTAGGTACAGGAGTGCGGACGGAAGAACCGTTTGCACACTAGTATAATCGCGCTCCAGTATACCACTCTGGTACCATGTGGGACAAGCTTGGTACCCTTGTGTCTGTGCGATTGTTCTCACCCTTCCGCACTCCGCACCTAATAATTTTTCAAACACTTAGCATGCTATAGTGGGGAAGCCATTCTCGACCAATCGACTCGCATCCCAGATAATTTTTAATGTTTTCTTTCGCAATTAAATTATTTTATGTTTTCTTATTAAAATTTATAACCTTATAAGTGAAAAATGTCAACTTATATTATATATTATATAATAATAAGTATATTATAATATATATATATATAATATATCTGATATATATATATATTATTAAATTATATATATATATTAATAAATTAATTTATATTTAGAAGTCTACCTTATCTTTATTATACATCCATGAAAATACACGACAAATAAACCAACTCTTTGACTCCAAAATATCTATCTTCTTTTATCTCTTCTCTCTTATCTTCCTCTCCTTGTCTCTTCTTCTCTAGCAAGGGGTGAGGGGATTTGACAAAATGGTTTAAAATGTGTATTATTTTAAAAACACTAACTTTGGCTTGATGTCATAGTGTTCATCTCCCCAACACCGCTGCACCCGATACAATCTTCCAAATTTTCTTAAAAACTTTTAAAATAGATTATCCCAGCTGCGGCAACACTTCTGGGTGCCGCAGTGCCTCCCTTTTAAATGAAGTCATGACGAGTAAACTTATTGTCATGAATTTTTTGAATTTAAAATAGTTCAAAATGTGTAGAAGTAATGAGAAAATTTAAAGAGGTAGAAGATAATTTGGGGAGTGCAGATATGCTGGAGTTGAAATTATTTTTTTTAAAAATAAAAATATAATAAAATTTTCAATTTCAATATTAAAAAGAATTTTTTTATATTAGATTGTTTGCAAGATGCTTTGACATGAGATATGTCTCTAAAACATTCTTCCACACATGATGCTCCATATAGCAAATTGAATTGTTGCATATAATATTCAAAATTTTCCGAATTCGATAGAAGTTGATATCGAAACTCAAATTATTTTGACTTAATGATTTGAAATCTTATAAGATTATAAATTTGCCAATTAAAAGATTATTTATTATTTGAAATATATGTATACAGATTATGTAAATGGGTATATTTGTAATTAAATTTGTTTAAAATAATAAAAAAATATTTTATTATTATTATTATTATTTTAGCAGAAAGAAGTGGAGTCGATCGAGCGGACAGCTCCAGCTCATCTTAACTGACGGTCAACTTCTTTGATCCAACTTCACATGCCAACCGTTAGATCACAAATCAACTCAACCAATAGTGGGGCCATTAGCGGGTCCAACTAATCAGATATGCAATTACTTCGTGCCACGTTGCTATAATGCAACTTAGCCGGCGGTCCAACGTAACCGCCCGCACTCTGTCGGCAGCATTTGCTAAGCTGTCAACCGGCGACCATAGCAAGTACAGGTGGCACTAACTCATTGGATCAGAGCATTGGCTTGTCCTCCGGTCTTCAAGATCCCGCGCATTTTATCCCCGTGTTATAAATCCGCGATCCCTGAGCTGGACTGTCGGTGGCAAAACCCCCGGTTTCTGAAGAGAGATCCGGCGGCAGGTTTCGGCAAGGTTCCGACGACGAGATGATGAGGGGGTCGGGATTCGACGGAGGATTGAGGGGAGTGAAGACGGATCCACCGGTGGAGTTGGAGTGGGAGATGAGGCCTGGGGGGATGCTGGTTCAGAGGCGGCTCCTCGATCCTGGAGCACAGCCGCCGCCGATGATACGCCTCCGGATCTGTTATGGTGAATCGAAGTTTGAGGTCTCCGTTGGTCCCCGGGCAACTTTCAGTAAGTTTCTCTGTCTTAGAGTCCCGGCAAACTATGACCTGCTTTTTCTTGCAAAAATAAACACTTTAATTGGCTGGAAAAGCAACAATTCGTTGAATGCGCAGTGAGTATAGTGCATGAATTCGCAGTGGTTGAAATGATGATAAGCCCAGCAGGCTTTTTTGAAGTTGGAAAATTTTAAACTTTCAAAACGGTTATTTTGACTACTTTAGTTTTACGAGAGTGTGCGAAAGTTTTAAATTTGGTGAAATTTTGATTAAGTTTGCGGAGTTTGGTGTTGTGCAGGGGAGTTGAAGAAGGAACTGGAGGCAGAGACGGGTCTGCGGCAGGCGGAGCAGAGGGTAATCTACAGAGGTAAAGAGAGAGAAAATGGGGAGTTTTTGGACAGATGTGGGGTGAAGGATCGATCGAAATTGGTGGTGATGGAGGAACCTTCAAGCCGCGAGCGGCGCTATATTGAGATGCGTCGGAATGCAAAGATCCAGAGCAGTGCTCTTGCCATCGCCGCCCTGTCGTTGGAGGTCGATAAATATGCCGCCCAGGTGACATTTTGTCTCCTTATTAATGTTTTATTCAATTTCCCTTTGTTCATCTTTTATTGACTGGATGGAAGCCCAGCTGACGGTGCTTTTTGATCCAATTAACCTAACTGATGCTAAATCTTAAAATTACTCTTGTTTTCTTTAGTCTGAGAATCTGATAGTTAAGGTTTTTTAGTATATACATCTCATCTATTTTATGTAATTTCCCCTGTATATTTTCCTAAGCTTTGAATCTGGGAGTAGAAATGGCAAACATTTTGCTTGCGCTTATAAAGTTTAAGAAAGTTCAAACCATGTTCTGCAGATTGTTCTTGATCTGTAAGGAAATCCTATGGTTCTCATTCTGCAGCATAAACAAACTAAAGTTTCGTTTGGAACGATTTTCTTATTGCTTCTTAAAGCAATTTTTTAATACAAAAACTGGGCCGTTTTTTTTACTGCTTTTTGAAGCAGTTTTTTAGTATCAAAACTAAATTTTTGAAGAAGTAAAAAAGCGTCCCAAACGAAACCTAAATTTCAAAGTTCCTCTATCTGGTTAGTCTGTAATCTTCTTTGCTGTATCTTATTTTGTTGCTTATCTTCTTGAATGTCTTCAGGTTTCAGCAATTGAGAAATCTATTTCCAGTAGAAAGAAGGTGCCTGAACTGCAGATTACCACATTAATAGAGCTGCTTATGAGACAAGCAGTCAAGCTAGATGGCATTGTTGCTGAAGGAGATACTTCCTTTCAGAAAACACTATTGGTATAATGTCTTTCTTTATTTTTAAAATATTTTTTTGCCTTTACTTGTTTATGATTCTGTAGCTTCTGTTACACTTATCAAACCCCTCATGTTTAAACTGTTTAATTAATATCTGTTCTTATCACAACATTGATAAGGCTTACAAAATCAAGCATGCCCAATTATTTGCCATCTTTTCCTGTGTAATGCTTAGGCAGCTTAGATTGGCCCCTCATGTTTCCCAACTTCATATCCAGCTAATTATAGAACACATGCTATAAGCATCAGTGCTATCAGATAATATCAGTCTTTTGCCGTTGGATCCTCTCGAGCACATGTGAGGGCAAATCTATACTTATTATTAAATTTCAACGTTAGGAATGTAGGATTTAATGAAGACGGAAAAATAATAATTTCATCGTCTCCGAAAGGAATTTTTATTACGTCCGGTAAAAATACCGAGCATACCGAGTGTACCGAGCGCCGGTACCGAGCACGGTACCGAGCACTTTAGTGACGTGGCATTTTTTTAATGGTTACCGAATGCATTCGGTAACCTGACGGAATAATCACTCCTCCGAAAGACATGTTAAATCATCTAGAAGAGTTATTTGAAGTGTATCGGAATCTATTGAATTGCAGAATCAAGGTCTTCAATCTTCCACGTTTGAAGCAGCACTCTCCAAGAGAGCAAAAAACCTCTTCTTTTCACTCAAGATGAGAAATGAGGGAAATGAGAACTTCACCATTTAAACTGGAGACCATGATCCTTTTATAATTCAAGTGTATTTATTTTTATTTCAGCCCATCATTAAAATAAAATAAATACTTGACACCTACACAAATAGTTATTTTCATACAAAATTAATTGAGATCTCACATAAGATAAAAAAATAATTTAATTCTTAAATAGATCACAAATTTAATTAGATCAATTTTAGATAGCATCTAATATATCCTTTAATTTTATATGTATAAATATATGAATCCACATATAAAAATTTTCCAACAAGACTCTAACTTTAGTGGCCTCTCGGAGCATTGAAGTTCCTTGCACATATGTAGTTCTTTTATGTGCTATTGTTTTATTCGCTTGTCGAGTAGATGCCGCCATTATTGCTTGTACATCTT